ACATCATACATTTAGTGCTTATGTCACGCGTGCCGGTGAATGAAGCCGTGGAGAGGCGAGGATCCAGACCGGGGAGGAAACAGGCAGATAGGTAGGATTTCTTACACTGATTTTATTCTGAGACACGCTGGACAATGAAACAATGGACCGACACAAGACACAGAACAGAAGGGGCTTAAATACACGAGAGCAGGGAGCTAAGGTGATTGGGAAACGAGAGGTAGGTGGGAGCAATTAACGAGACACAAGGCTGAACCAAAACGGGGAGACAGGACAGGGTGTGACAGCTTAAAGTCAGTCTAGTTTAATTTGTAAGTAATAAAATTCTTAACTTTTAAACTTGACTCTCTCTCTTCTGTTGTCTCTGAGTGAATACGAAGCTGTTATCTAATCCCTGCAATAAAAAGATCCAATCTTCTGGTTTACATAACCTCACAGATCCGTAAAGTGGATTTCGTATTGCCTATGGAATCCCACGCCTTACGGCTCATTAAATAACACGTAATTTAAATCATTACACTTTCTTCACTTAGTTTGTCACACAATATTGTGAGTACTGTAGCATTATGAATATGCCATTTCTGCCCTTAACAGCTGCCCTTTGACACAGTGACAGTGTGCATAAATTGCCAAGGTCGTGTGCTTGCTTCTGATGTTTACATTCCAGCAAAGAAGACAGAAGAAGGACGAAGAACGCTTTTCATTAGTTAATCAAAGAACTTTATATTTAATAAAGCTAATCAAAACAACTGTTGGTCAATAATAATCAGGTGACCGATCTGTGAAATCACAATGTTATGATTTATGTGTTTAATGAATAACAGGACTTGGGCTAACTGAGATAGACATCCTGATTCACATAAATTAAACACATGACACATCCAATCAGAACTTCCTTTCTGATGCGTGGCAGAGTTCTGTGGTGTTTAGTTAATCTGTCCACTCTGATTCGCTAAGAATCATAAACATCTAAGCTTAATAAAACAGAACAACGCCATTTTTAGTTTAGTGTTCAACGTAGTTCAACGGAGTTTCAACGCAGTTCTAACTAAGTACTGAACCAGCTCTCAAATCCATCTGATGTCCATCATCGCTAAGTGAAGTACAGACTGGCCAGCTGTATTTTCTACTTTTAAGCTGAGAACTGTCAAGCTGGAAAATTCTGTCGTTTTATCAACAAGACGACGGTTCCTTCAGAATAAAAGCTGAACTCTCTGACCCAATAAGGGGGGTCTCTACGTGACGCTGAAAATCTGCCGTTGTACCGGTAGACGATCCATAGACTGGTTTGTCGTGCTGCCGACGCTGTTTCACCAGTTCCAGCACCAAGGAGGGTCCGAGGACCTGGCATCCAGATCTAACACGGAAGTCCGCACGGTACGTAGATCGGCATAGATTGCGTCTCATGTCTTCCTCCTGAAGTCCATCGTCGGTCAGTTAGTAGCAAACAACATCTCGCACTCAGACTCGCCTCCACCAGATGGATATTCTGAACTGACACACACACACACCAACACTTCAGCATTGCATTCATCTGCATCCATCATTAGAGAGTTAGTCCTGGTGATTGTTTCAAATAATTATAAAATAAATATTCTTAAACGTCCCATCTCTCTCTCTCTTCTTGTCTCTAATTCAATACAAGGTGTTTGAATAAAATTCCCTGTGGTAAAAACAACCTCTTTTGATTCTAAGGGCCCGGTCCAAAGATTAATGATCCAGCTCAGGTTTGGATCAGTGATATCTCTGGACCTTAATAAAAGTGTAAGAATATACCAACTATATTCCGCTACAGTACAATGAGGACTTTAAAGGACCACAAACACTGTGAAAGCTACAAAAGAACAAACAATTACAACACGATTATTAAAACTATCAATATTCAGTAAAACACAATACATACAAAGTTTTCTTTTCATGCTAACATACCTCGCTTTGCTTGCCAAGGGGATGCAAACTTTATCAAAACTTTAGCCACTCTGCCATACCATGCAGCTGGCTTAAAACGCTTGGGAAGCTGAGGACATCATAAGAATAACAGTTTTAAACTCACATTTGCATGTTAAAGTGTCAAACACCTACATGTTTCAGAGTGGAGTTTGTGGAGCTCACCAAACTGACGGAATTGTTGGGCCTGCCTCTCACCTTTATACAAAACACCTGAGAGGCAGCTCCAGCAACACCATATTTAAAGAGACAGTGCCTCACTTTGTTGATTTCGTTACACTGCTGGTCTGACCATGTGCTGATTTCTTTTGATATTATTTCACCTGTAAACTGTCATTCACCTTGTCCATCACGGTCGCTACGGCGCGTCATTAACCCTGAAACAGCAGGGTCTTTTGTTAGTGCTTTCTCTGTGACTGATCTGCCTAGTCAGCTTAGTCTGGATGATCAGATTGTTTTTTTTTTTTTTGATGATAAATGTCTCACAGTTTTAAATTCTGTTGCTCCTCTTAAACCCGTTCACTCCAAACCTAAAGCTGATCCTTGGCTCAACTCAAATACTCGAAGTTTGAGAAAACTTTGTAGACGGGCTGAGCGCAAATGGGGAAAAAAAAACACCTCCAGATTTCATATCAGATCCTGCAAACCTATGGTCCAAATATCAACAAGCAGTTATGCACGCTAGAAGTTACTATTTTTCTAAAATTATTTCTGCAAACCTGTTCAATCAGAAAGTTCTTTACAAAACTATTAATTCTGTTCTCGTTCCGTATGAATCTAACTGTTCAGTTACTGCACCAAATCTTCCAGATCAGTTTCTAGACTTCTTTTCAGATAAGGTTTCCTCTATTAGGGCTAGCTTATCACTCCCTCTGCACACCTTTCATACCTTAACTTTAAATTCAGCGCCCTTCCTCAGTTTTAAACCCATTTCCCTTTTATGTCTTCAGTCTTTGATTCTGTCGATGAAACCTTCCGGTTCCCCAGACGACATCCTTCCTCCGCGTCTCTTGAAAGAGGTGTTCCCAGCTATTGGTCAATATGTCCTACACTTTATCAATAAATACCAGTTTTACTTCCTGTATGGTACCCCCTGGCTTCAAACATGCTGTGATACAGCCGCTCTTAAAGAAACCTGGCCTTGACACCTTGGCTCTGTCCAATTATCGCCCTATCTCTAAACTCCCACTTTTGGCAAAAATTCTGGAGAGGGTGGTCTATGATCAGCTATCAACTCATTTAGCTGGTCATAATGTAATGGATGTTTTTCAGTCAGGTTTTCGACCACTGCATAGCACGGAGTCCTCTCTCCTCCGTGTCTTCAATGATATTTTTATGGCTACTGATTCTGGCTCCTACGTTGTTTTATTACTTCTCGATCTGTCCGCCGTCTTTGACACCGTCGACCACAACTTCCTTTTATTGCACTTGGAGGAGGTTGCTGCAATACATGGTACAGCCCTAACCTGGTTTAGGTCCTATTTGTCAGACAGGTCCCAACGGGTGGTGTTGAACAATATTTCATCTCGCACTGCTCCTCTTTCATGTGGGGTCCCTCAAGGATCCATTCTGGGGCCCCTGTTGTTTTCTCTTTACCTTCTTCCCCTTAGCTTCATCTTAAAACAACACTCTGTTCACTATCACTTATATGCTGATGACTGTCAGATTTACATGTCTGTGAAACCCCAGCAGTCCATTCAGCCTCTTTCAAACTGCATTTGTGATGTGAAATGTTGGCTGACCACAAATTTTCTACATCTTAACGACTCCAAGACTGAACTGATCCTGTTTTAATCCGGCCAGACCTAGCGCATTTCAAACCCCAGATCTTTCTTCAATTTCTCCAAATCTAAAAACCGTTGTAACAAATCTAGGTGTGAAGATGGATTAATCTCTAAGGATGGACGCCCAGGTTAATGCCACTGTAAAATAGTCAGTAATTTGGGGATAAAAATTGACTCCTCACTTAATCTTGACACTCACGTAAATACGGTGCTGAGGTCCTGTTTTTTTCATCTGAAACGACTATCCAGGATCAGGCCTCTGCTGTCCAGAGCTCATCTGGAGTCTGTGTTGCATGCTTTCGTCCTGTCACGTCTGGACTACTGTAACGCTCTGTATGCCGGTCTGGGCCAGTGCACGGTTGCACGGCTCCAATTTGTACAGAACTCAGTGGCTAGGTTCCTGACAGGTACTGGATGCCGAGATCACATTACTCCAGTACTGACTGCTCTGCACTGGCTCCCGGTGCAATATCGAGCTAAATTTAAGATCTTAACTCTTGTTTATAAGGCCTTCCAGGGCAGTGTCCCCTCTTACATTACTGCACTTTTGCAAAAGTATGTTCCATCTCGGTCTCTTTGCTCAGCCGAGCAGGGACGTCTGGTGGTCCCCCGGTCGAAATATCGATCAAGGGGTTATCGTGCATCTTCTGTTTTGGTTCCAACTCTGTGGAATGAATTGCCATTGAGCATTAGGCAGGCGCTGTCCCTTCAAATCTTTTAAGTCTCGTCTAAAGACTCATTTCTATTTGATTGCTTTTCAGCGCTAGGGTTCTGTGAATTGCCCTGACATTATGGTTTTTAATACTTCTTTTTGATCAGGATGCTTGATCTTATTCTGTCCACCATTTGTTTTTAATTGATTAGTCTCATTCCGTTACCTCTCTGTATTTGTAATATTGCTTGCTTGTTATTTTATGATTTTATGTTTTTTTTCTTGCACCACAATATATTCATAACCATACCATGTTAGAACGTTGTTAAGAGGCATGACAAAGTGTTTGAAGCTAATGTGTTTTCCAGCTTCCAGCTGGCATTTATGAACATTTTCATAAAAACCAGAAGGAAATGTAGCTCGTGGCTGTTGTTTTTATGTTTTTGTTCGTTTTGAAAAAGTGCAAGTGATCAGCAACATTTTCACAATATTTTATTTGTCATTGAATAATTTTCGCGCACGTCATAAATCTTCACTAATAGTTTTAGTATTGTCAAAGTGTGTTTTAGGCTCACGTATGTTTTTGTAGTTTTAGAACAGGTCCTCCCTTCGAAGGCGGAACTAGAGTTGTGTCATGTGACTTCCGTCAGGACCGATTAGCCACTGCACTGTTTATATTCCGCTGTAACCGGAAGTAGCTAAAAATTTCTATTTTTCTTTCAAAATGTATTCACACGGTTCAGAAAGTTTGATTAATCAAGCAAGGTAAGAACAAATCAAGTAAACGTGTTTGTTGCTACATTACGTTTCTCTCCTGTTTTAATATTGAAGCTAAAGTTAACCATCGGCTCATAATTATTGCATAATAATTCGTGTTGTTTTATCCTCTGGATTTTAGATAACTTCCTTCTGGCTGTTTAATATTTGAGCTGTTAGTATCTAAACACCAACACATTCATCCTTCCAGCGTTTATTCACTCGGAACATTTGGCTATGATTTTACGTCGAAGTAATATATTTATCTTTATTATCCAATATTAGAAACGCTCGTTTCGTTCATTAGCTAAATTAGCTACATCTGCGCGTTTCCTGCTATAAAACGTAATAAACCATTGCAGCGTAGCTGCTGGTCTGGTTTATAAGGCAGTTGTTGATTTCCACGTTTAAATATTATATCTTGATCCGAAATATGTGCTCTATTAAATACTTACTTTTGTAATTTTGTGATCTGTCAGCTCACTGAACTTGAATCAAATACTGAAAATAAGCAAAAGTCATTTTTTAAGTTTTATTGATAAAAATGCTCACGCCATGGGATTTTATTTATTTTGAATTCTTGTTAATATCACTGTTGAATCAGATTTTTGTCCTACAACCTACTTAGATCAAATCAGTGGATTAATCAGTCTTATGATCAATCACTCTTTATAGATTGATCTGTCCGTTCGCCCCGTTTTTGTCTTGTTCCTTCTCTGAAACTCTAAAATCTTTCATATAAAAGTTCAATAAATATTTTGGTTTATGAAATATGTATCGTTAAAAAAATCCAGAAATAGAAAAGTTTAACACAACACAGTGAAAATTAGGCCAAACAACATAGTTGAAAGGACTTTGAAAGGATGAGGGCTCCGGCACTATTGAATGTATTTATTTTTGTGATTTCCAGAGAGATCCAGGAGCCTGAGCTGCAGAAGTTTTACAGCAGGCTTGTGAAGCTGCTTCAGGTGAAGGAGCTCAGTCACGAGACTCTGGACTCTCTTCAGAGGCTACAGCTCATCCTGTTTGCCAACAAATTCACCAAAATGTACGAATCACACTTCACATGATTCATGATGTGTTATCTGTTATTTCTTAGATGAAATGGTCACTCAAAAGGTACTCTCACCACTTCCTACAAGGATTGACTGTAAAATTATCGCTACTAGTTGTAAAGATCACCTAATATTTACATCCAGCCAGCCGTTTCTGAGCATGTTCTACCTTGATAACATTGCTTTGTTGTAAAACATCTCCTCAGAGTTGGATTTATTTATTGATTTATCATCTTCATGATTCTAAACTGAAATCAAATAAACGAGGAGCATTTTTGTGTGTGCCGTTGAACATGACTTCGGTTTTTTTCCATCAGCTTCTCACCAGGCTCTTTGTTTGTTTTCTCAAACCGCAGCCTGCCTGCAGAGCTCCAGCAGAAGTTACTATCGCTCCTTTCATCACCCGCAGAGCAGCTTCAGGTTCTGGGCTCTGCTGTTCTTAGAGAGACACTGCCCCCCTCTGGCCAGGAGCTGAACTTCTCTGAGGAGAACCTCAGTCAGCTGAACACTCATGCTGCTGCTCTGCTGCTCTCACAGGTTGTAGAATCGTGACGTAATCAGCTGATAAGATTTGTAAAACGTATTGTTTTGATTCTAAGGCATCACTTAATCTGCCCCCTGGTTCTGCTTTGACCCCCAAAGGCCAGATCCAGGGCCGATCTGTCAAATCTCTGCGCGCAGCTCATCCGTAGTCTGGAGAGCCGACCATCAGAAGGGCCGACTCAGTCGCTCATGTTCACCCTGCCAGTTCTCAACACCGTGTTCACACTCAGCCCAGAGTGCCTCACTGAAGGTAGGAACTAACAACAGGTAAAACATTTGTAAGGATGAAGGGATGCAACGGACCCAGGTTCGCTCCTCTTCGGGCATCAGGTAGAAGTTCTGGCTCTGAGACGGACTCGCTGCATTTTCAACCTTTCAACTAAACCGCTTTCTTTTAAAAGCCTTAGCGTGTTTGCTAACTATCTCCAATCACGTGTTTAAAACACCCTAAGAACATTTGACAAACGTTCAATTGTTTTTTTCTTCTGATAACTCACCCTGATATCAGTTCCATCCCCGCGTCTGATAAACGGGGAGCGCTGAAGCGTCTCAGCTGACGTGTTTTTGCACTGAGCGCTCTTTCCCCTGACCGTCAGCCAGACGTCTGTTTGTTCCATTTTCTGCCAGTCGAGCTAGAAAACCTGCAGGTCTGAGAACGTTGGACACGGTTTGATTCCTCACTCACCTCAGCACGCCGTGTTCTCTGGTTAAATCAGAGGTTCTGGTCCATTCTAACATGACATCATCGCACAGCTCCATCCGTGATGAGAACCTCCCGTTCCTCCCCATCCCAAAGGTTCTGGAGTGAGATCTGGTGACTTGATAAGTTTGTGATAACCTTCAACCTGAGTTTTCTTCACACCTGCAGATCATGTGACCCTCCTAAGTAAAAAGCTTGTTGATTGGCTGCGTTACGCGAGCATCGTCCAGGGAGGCGGCGCTTCCTCAGGAGGATTCTTCGCTGGACCCAGATCTCGTCAGGTGAGTTGTCCGCCTCGATGCAGGTGAGATTTTCTGTCCTGTTTTAGCTTAGCTTGTCTCCTCGTGTTTTTATTATTCAGCCGCTGCCGATAGCCGAGCTGGATGGCTCGGTTTCGGGGGATTTCTTCACCGTGCTCTGCGTGGGTCAGGGATTCACCGAGGACCAGTGGATGAATGTTTACGCCTTCTCCATGCTGCGCCACTGGCTCCTCACCCACCACTCTGTCTCCAACACGGCTGTGGATGCTGGTAAGGCCCCTCAGCGTCATGGACCCTCCATCTGGAAAAGCTCAAAAGACACAGGCCTCGACTCGGACTTCAACAGCGATGACTCATGACCTCACTTGCATTTGAGACTGAAGACCTGAAAATACTTGTTTTACGCGGGGTGGCCATGGGAAATGTAACATCAGATCTTGTTTGCTGCCCGTTTGGACAAATCCAGTTTAAAGGGGACTTTGTTGCTGCCACGTGGGTCTCTGCTGCCTCTATAAACTCTCCCAACAGGAAAACAAAACCTCCATCCGTTTTCTGTCAGTGTTTGCTTTCAGGAGTTATGCTCCTAAAACATTTTCTAGGCGCAGCCAAGGTGTGAGGGCATCCGTTTTGGTGGCCTGAGGTCAGGACTCTGCTTTTAGTAGATGATGTGGTCCGGTTGGCTTCATCAGATCGGGATCTCCGGCTCTCGCTGGAGCGGTTCACAGCCGAGTGTGAAGCAGCTGGGGTGAGATTCGGAGACCGTGGTCTTTAGTCGGAAAAGGGTAGAATGCCTTCTCCAGGTCAGGGACGAGGTCCTGCCCCAAGTGGACGAGTTTAAAGTATCTCGGGGTCTTGTTCATTGGTGAGGGAAAGGCGGAACGCCAGATCGACAGGCGGATTTGTGCTGCGTCTGTCGTGGTGAAGAGAGAGCTGAGCCAGAAGGCGAAGCTCTCGATTTACCGGTCGATCTACGTTCCTACCCTCAACTATGGTCACGAGCTTTGGGTAGTGACCGAATGAAAGAGGTCATGGATACAGGCGATTAAAATGAGTTTTCTCCGCAGGGTGGCTGGGCTCTTCCTTAGAGATAGGGTGAGAAGCTCGGTCTTCCGGGAGGGGCTCAGAGTAGACCCGCTGCTCCTCCACATCGAGAGTAGCCAGTTGAGGTGGCTCGAACATCTAGTTAGGATTCCTCCTGGACGCCTCTCTGGTGAGGTTTTCCAGTCAAGTCAAACCGGGAGAAGACCTAAAGGAAGACCCAGGACACGCTGGAGGAACTATGGCTCTCAGCTGGCCACGGAACGCCTTGGGATTCCCTTGGAAGAGCTGGCCCAAGTAGCTGGGGAGATGGACATCTGGGCCTCTCTGCTTAGGTTGCTGCCCTCGTGACCCAACCCTGGATAAGCGGCTGGATGAGTGCCTAAAACAAGCTGTTTCAAAAAGTTCCTGTTTGTGATGTCACAAACGGGGGAAATGGAAAAGAACCAGCTCTCACATGCAGGAGAGCACTGCTGCTGGAGGAACTTCAGGCCTGCTTCAGGCCCCTCCCGTATGTCAGAGCTTCTCAGCATATAGCAGCCTAAATGGGGAATGGTGGGCGTGGCCAGCTCCAGCTTGTTTTCTTAAAGTGACAGAGCCCTGAAACGGCTCATTCTGGAAGGTATTGAAACCATCATGACAAAAACTGCTGAAACATTTTATGTGAGAGGGATTTAGAGCCAACAACTTCACAAACATGTTTTGTATCGACCGATTCTTTGGTACTTGACTTGTGACTTGAGTAGAAAGACTTGAGGATTATTTTAAACAGCTGACCTGGTCCCACCTCTGCTAGCTCCTGTCATCACTGTGAGGTTGAATCTCGGCTTGCTCTTGGTTCATGTCAGCTGTCTGCTCTTTGTTTCCATCGTCTCCAGTCAACAGACTCCAGTTCAGCCTCTCCCTGTCTCACTCCTTCTCTAACGGTAAGACACCAGTGGCCCTCCAGAGCACACGCTGAATCCGCTGAACCAGGAGCTAACACATCTGCTATGATCTTGACTCGCAGCTACACTTGCCTCTAACCTGGAATCTGTAGCCTCTCGCCCCTCGTTTCCTGTTAAACCTCCTAACGAGTCGGTAGCCAGAAGCTGAGCGACTCGCTGTAGTTCTCCATACTAACCACGCCGCACCCCCGTGTGTTTGATTTGTGAGCAAGAACGTAGCGTTGATGACTCTTAAGGTCTTTCTTTTAAACTCTCACGTGAGTCTGCATGATGAAGCCCAACTGGTCTGAGTAAAAAAGCAGAACCGCCTCGTGTCGGTGGACTCTTCTGCTGACTGTTTAAAGGGTTTATTAGAGCACTGATTTATCACTGCCATTAAACGTTCAGCTGAGCTGATGCAGAACTAAACCGCACCCGAGCACGATTTGACCTGAAAGGATCAACTCCAGGATCGCTCAGTAAAGGGGACCTATTATGAAAAACTCACCTTTTGCTCCTTTTTCTGCTGCCATGTCGGTCTCCACTGCCTCTATAAACACTCCAAACATGAATAAAATCCATCCATTAGTTTTCTGTTGGTTTTGGTTTTAGGATTTTTGTGCCTAAAACAAGCAGTTTCAAAATATCCCCATTTGTGATGTCACAAATGGGGAAATAAGAACAAAACAACCTCTCACGTGCGAGAGAGACTTCCAGCAGCTCTACTCTGAGCCCCTTCCATATAAGGGAGCTTCTCGGCTTGTAGCAGCTCGAGTGGGGGGTAGGTGGGCGTGGCCAGCTCCAGCTTGAGCCCTGAAACCGCTCATTCTGGAAGGTACTGGGAATGTGAAGAATAAAACTGCTGAAATAGCTTTATGTGCGAGGGGTTTAGTGCAACAGACTTCATTAACGTGTTCTTCGTCGACCATAGAACCGTTTTAACGTAAGAATCTTATTATGGTTTTAGCTTTAATACGTTTCTGAGACATGATCTCGTGATTCCGCACACATTCTGGACGGGCTTTGTTGCCTTTGTCATTATGTCTAGAATTAAAGGGATTTGTCTCATTTAAGAGTCAAAAAATAAATAAATACCACCGTACCCAGTCCTCTTGAATGGCCTTTGTTCAGAGAAATGGAGATTATATTCTTAGCTGCTGAGCTAACTGCTAGCCAGAATGCAGCCAAGACCAAAGTGCGTTGCAGATACAGTCTCAACTTCTTAGTGCTTCGTGTGAAAGTGATTGTTTTTAAATCTTTACCGTCAGTTTTTTGTTAGATTCTGCAGTTGCTGCAGCAGCAGCAGCTGGTGATCGCTGCCATATTCCCTCAGACCCCCCTGTAGTTGAAAGGTGGATGTTTGACAGCGTCAGCAACCTCTGCTCCAGAGGTTGGATCATTAGTGTCCACCCCCCCCCAACCCCTTCACCCCACCCCCCCGCCCCACCTAAAGAGGGGAAGCGGTGGCTGACGTGGGCTGGCCAGGCTGTGTGAAGGCATGGTTTTAATCTGTCAGTGGATCGAAGCCGTAGAAACATCTCAGCGGCACTAATGAGACAGAAGTTTGTGACTTTGTTTCTTACGTCTTTCTCTGTTTCCTTTCTAGTGAATTAATTCAGAATAACAAAATAATGAATGAAAAGTCTGTTTTCATGCTGCATGAGTTAAAACCTGAAATCAAGGCGGGCGGGGGCACAATAATAATCTTTATTAGCCCTAAAGTAGTCTGGAGTCGGTCTGATCTAACATCCCATCTTTGTCCTGACCGTCCCTGTTTCAGATGATCGGTCGGAGGTGGAGGGCTCCGTGGTTTCCATGGTGTCAGTAACTTCCTCCTCCAGCCGCCTGCTTCCTCCAAAGGAGCGTCTGAGAGAGAAAGCCTTCCAGTACTGCCAGCGGCTCATCGAGCAGTGTGATCGCAGTGAGTGTGTGTGTGTGTGTGCGTGTGTGTGTGAAGGTGCGTGTGCGTGTGAAGGTGTGTGTGTGTGTGTGCGTGTGCGTGTGAAGGTGTGTGTGCGTGTGCGCTAGACTGTAAGGGAGATCCCTGATGTTTTCTGTCTCTTTCTGTCAGGGGCACAGAAGAAGGCAGACTCAGAGCTGCAAAAAGCGGTGACAACACACACACCTACACACACACACACATGCACACACACGCACGCGCCTACACACACACACTCACCTACACGCACACACACTTGCACACACACACACACACACACTTGTTTATTATAGAAAGTCCTCACCAGAAAATTGTAGCTTTAGGAATGCTCATGATGGATGTTTCTACAGAGACTGAAACCAAAACTAAACCAAGCTGCTGTTAATGTTGTGTGTTGTGTTAGTGTCTGGTGGAGGCCGTGTGTATCCTGGACTGTGTGTGTGCTGAAGACGCCTCCATGGTCTACCGGGCCTTCCCCTGTATGAAGGCTCTGTTCGGTCGTCTCAGCTCAGACCTGTCCTTCGCCAGAGTCCTTCTGCCCATCGCTCAGTTCTACCTCAACCACGGTGTGTGTGTGTGTGTGTGTGTGTGTGTGTGTGTGTGTGTGTGTGTGTGTGTGTGTGTGTGTGTGTGTGTGTGTGTGTGTGTGTGTGTGTGTGTGTGTGTGTGTGTGTGTAAAGTCGATGGTTGCTTTCAGGAAAAATGAGTTGAAGTTTGTCCCACCAAAATGAACTCAACTTACAAGCACAGTAAATAAAAGACAAATACTTTATTTTTACATTATTAAAAATCTGACCTTGTCCATTCGTTCGTTCGTTCGTTCGTTCGTTCGTGTAAAAGTGTCCATCTGCTTCAGCTACCTGTGCTTGTGGCTCAGTCTTCTAGAGTTCTCCATTTGCTGTCATGGACCACATTAAACCACACCAAAGGCCATAAAAGGCCCACAGGCCACATTTTGGACACCTCTGTTTGTTATTTCAGCCGTTTTAGGATTTCTGTGTAAATGGTATAAATTAGCTTCCTGAACAGCCTCAGTTTAGAGAGAGAGAGAGTTGAAGTTTCATTTAGACGAATCAAATTTTTACTTTTCTGTCTAATTTCACCTGTCCAGGTGAGATGGACACCGTGGACTGTGAGAGGGTGTGGAAGCTGGTTTTTGGTCAGTTTCCTGCCGAGCTCTTCAACGACGCCTTCCTCGCCTACGAGCTTCTGCGCTTCCTCCGACTCAACCTGGAGAATATCCAGAGTCGAGCTCCTGAGTTCGTACAATTCTTCCCAAACTTCCTGAAGGTCCATATTACCATAAACATGCACCAGCGCTTTAGAGTGCTGCAGGAAGCGTCTTCATTTAGCCCCTTTCTGCTCGTGTAGTTTTTAGCGTGGGACAGTCCAGCTGTGGTGGAGGACTTTGTGGATCTGCTGCCCTCTCTGGTCACCACAGGAACTGCAGTAGAGCTGCTCCATACTCTCCTGGATCTGCCCTGCCTCGCTGCCACTCTGGTCCTACAGCTCAGGTTTGTGGACGCAAAGATTCATCCACCAAACAAACATTCCTCTGCGCCTCACTGAGGCTGTTAGCGTGTCTGCTGCAGGTCAACGTGTTTGCCCATCGCAGATCCAAACAGTCGAGGACTTCTGTCCCTGGAAGCATTCCGAAATCCCGCCTTCAGAGGACTTTTCCTGTTTCTGCTCCGAGCGCAGGCTGGCTCTGGTTAGTTTCATTTGTTTGTTTGTTAAACAACGATTTTAAACTGAATGGCTTTTGTGAAACTTCACTTTATTTCAGTCATTAAACACATTGGTAGTTTCATACAGTAAATGGGCTTTCAGAGCTGGTCACAGATAAGGAGTTCAAGTTTACAGTCCTTGTGCATCACAAGTAAAAGATGCAAAAACAGATTTTTTTTTTTTTACTGTTTTTATTCAAAAACAGACATTTTAGATCAAGTTTGAACCACGCCCCCATAATTCGGGTCTGGATGTTGCGCTACCAACACTATCTATAGTGTGGACGGTGTGCTGCTGACCTCTACTCAGGACGTTGTGGATCGGTGGGCAGAACACTTCGAAGACCTCCTCAATCCCATCGACACGTCTTCCAGTGAGGAAGCAGAGTCTGGGGACTTTGGCTTGGCCTCTCAAATCTCTGGTGCTGAGGTCACTGAGGTGGTTAAAAGGCTCCTCTGTGGCAAGGCTCCAGGCGTGGATGAGATCCGCCCGGAGTTCCTTAAGGCTCTGGATGTTGTGGGGATGTGTTGGCTCACGTGGCTCTGCAATATCGCGTGGACATCGGGGGCAGTTCCACTGGACTGGCAGACCGGGGTGGTGGTCCCCTTATTTAAAAAGGGGGACCGCAGGGTGTGTTCCAACTACAGGGGGATCACACTCCTGAGCCTTCCTGGTAAGGTCTATTCAGGGGTTCTGGAGAGGAGGGTCCATCAGATTGTTGAACCTCAGACTCAGGAGCAATGTGGTTTTCGTCCTGGCCGTGGAACACTGGACCAGCTCTATACCCTTAGGGGAACCCTGGAGGGTGCATGGGAATTTGCCCAACCAGTCTACATGTGTTTTGTGGATTTGGAGAAGGTGTTTGACCGCGTCCCTCAGGGGTGGGGGGTGGGGGGGGGGGCTGTGGGGGGTACTCTGGGAGTATGGGGTACCAAGCCCTCTGATACGGGCTGTTAGGTCCCTGTATGACCGGTGTCAGAGCTTGGTCCGCATTGCCGGCAGTGAGTCTGGCTCGTTCCCAGTGAGAGTTGGACTCCGCCAAGGCTGCCCTTTGTCACCGATTCTGTTCATAACCTTTATGGACAGGATTTCTAGGAGCAGCCAAGGTGTGGAAGGCATCCGTTTTGGTGGCCTGAGGATCAGGTCTCTGCTTTTTGCAGATGATGTGGTCCTGTTGGCTTCATCAGAACGTGATCTTCAGCCTTCGCTGGAGTGGTTCGCAGCCGAGTGTGAAGCAGCTGGGATGATAATCAGCTCCTCTAAATCTGAGACCATGGTCTTGATTTGGAAAAGGGTAGAATGCCTTCTCCGGGTCAGGGATGAGGTCCTGCCCCAAGTGGAGGAGTTTAGGTATCTCGGGGTCTTGTTTACGAGTGAGGGAAAACTGGAGCGTGACATCGATAGGCGGATTGGTGCTGCATCTGCAGTGATGCAGGCATTGAACCGGTCTGTCGTGGTGAAGAGAGAGCTGAGTCAGAAGGTGAAGCTCTTGATTTACCAGTTGATCTACGTTCCTGCCCTCACCTATGGTCATGAGCTTTGGGTAGTGACCGAAAGAATGAGATCGCGGATACAAGCGGCCGAAATGAGTTTTCTCCAAAGAGTGGCTGGGCTCTCCCTTAGAGATAGGGTGAGAAGCTCTGTCATTCGGGAGGGGCTCGGAGTAGACCCGCTGCTCCTCCACATCGAGAGGAGCCAGTTGAGGTGGCTCGGGCATCTGATCAGGATGCCTCCTGGACGCCTCCCTGGTGAGGTTTTCTGGGCACGTCCAACTAGGAGGAGACCTAAAGGTAGACCCAGGACACGGTGGAGGGACTATGTCTCTCACCTGGCCAGGGAACGCCTTGGGATTCCCCCGGAGGAGCTGGCCCAAATGGCTGGAGAGAGGAAAGTCTGAGCCTCTCGCTTTAGGCTACTGCCCCCGCGACCCGACTCCAAATAAGCTTATGAAAATGGATGGATTGATGGATAACGCCTCCCCAGAGACATTAATATTTGATGTCTGTGGTTAGCGTTAGCTTGTTTTAACAGCGGTCAGCTCTGGACTCCTGATTGGTTCTTTTCTCGTCTAGTCCCGCCTGTTCCATTTACTGATTGGCTCTTTTTTCCCTTTCCCCATTTTTTACATTCCTTATTGGATTTTTGTAACTTTCAAGTTTTTGTTGTCGACTTTTATTCGTCGACGAGAACGTCAATCAATATTCATCACGATTTAGTCTTTAAAGAATTACAAATTAAAGTTTTTTTTTTTTTTTTTTTTTTTGTCTGGGAAAAAAACCCAAAATATTTCATCAACAACAATGGTCATCGACATGAAGAGCCAGCTGGAGAGACAACATTCACATGAAATCCATCCCAGGGCCGCTCAGGATGTTTTTTCCTTGTGTCTGTAATATAAAAGCATCTCTGTTTTTAGGTGACACCATCGACCGACTGAGCACGCTCCACGAGCTGCTGGCCGAGGCAGCTGATTGGCCGAGAGTCGTTCGGTGTGCTCAGACCGTCCCGGTCCTGCTACACGTTTACTTCAACACAGTTGTTAAGGTGAAGACATGCAGATCCATGACATATTGGCTGAGGTTGTTAGCTTTTACTGCAAGGTTGCTGTTTTCTAGATGGACGACAGAAAGCTCTTGGCCCATTTGGTTCTGGTGATGCTGGAGCGAAGCAGCCTCCTCCTCAGAATTCCCTCCTACAGCAAAGAGATTCACAGGTAGACCCGAACACGTCCGCCGATCTTTTAGCTCTGAGAAGGTCTTCAGTTTCCCTCCGATCTTCTGCTTCTGCAGGGTGTTTAGCTGCCACCTGAGGAGGCTGTGTAAGCTCCACCCCTCTCTGGTAGTGGACCAGTCTCACGAGCTGCTGGAGTTTGCTGGAGCCACAGCCAACGTCTACAACAAAGAGGAGGTCTACACTCACGTGGTAAGGCGGCGCTGTGTCGGAACCTTTTGGACTTTTTTTCTGTGAGAACAACGAACCGTTTTGGGTTTTTGTTCCAGGTGTGGGTGCTGGGGGAGTACCTGTCGGTGTCGTCTGACTCCCGCTGCTCCGTCAAACTCATCACTTCCTGTTTCGAGGCTTTAGAGGCGGTGCTGTTTGAAATCACGTCTTCTACCCCACCCCCTGGGACAATTTGTCCTGCCCCTCGTGTCATCACCACTCTGATGAGCGCTCTGGCTAAACTGGCATCTAGGTCACATGACCTCATTCCCAGGTGAGTGGTGGCAGTCCCTTTTCCTTTAGCTCCTCCCTTTTTCAGGCTGAATGATGCGCGTTTCTTTTTCTTCAGGGCTTCTCTTTTCCTTTCCAAACTGAGAACGGTGAGCAGAAACGGATCAGTCGCCTGGTGTGCTGATGAAGAGGACCTTGTTGCCATAGTAACGCGGGGCGAAGAGCTGTGGTCGCTGCTGAAAGCCCCTGGCGTGGCTCAGAGCGTCTTGACGCCCCCCGCCTACGTCACCACACCGCGGTGGCACAGGGACACTAGTGTGGCCATGCCGCTGCAACTGCGAGCTCTCACTAGCCTCACGCACTCACAGTGACACACGCCTTTACCATCATCACCATCGTTACCTGGCACGGTCACCCGCCTGCACCCAGAAATCTGACTCTTGACTCTACTTGATTTTTGCACTTTAGTTTTGTAAATAAATGATGGCATTCAGCCAAACACCTGTCATGGAGTGTTCATTATTATAATTATTATCAAATAAAAACAAATCATGAAGTTTGATGGAATCAATTCTTTAATAAATTCACTGGAATCGATCATTTTACAAAATTACCTTCTGATTGAAATAAATCACGTTTTCATTTCCTGAGTCATTTTTTGTTTCTACGACAGATAAAATGCAGTTTTCAGGCATAAACGTTAAAACTGGACATCGACATTTAAACTACAGGTACAAAGTGCTTGTAGATAAAAGTGCATTTTAAAACTGGCGATCAGAGTCTGAACATTTACTAAAATCTAATAAGTAGTTTGAACTTGTCACCTTTTTCACACAATAGAAAAAATAGTGGAAAATTGTGCAGATTCATTATAAATAACACCATAGTCTGCTGGTATTGCTCACGCTGACCTCAGATGACCTTTGTCTCTGCTGGCCTCGGAGTGGGTTCACCTCCATATGTCAGCGAAGCACAAAATGTGACCTCAAAAAAGCATTTAAAGTGTGTTTCGACATTATAAATGGCTGCAGCGGGTACTACGGACAGTATTCAGATCCCCGTAAATTTTTCACAGTTATATTGTATGGCGTGGTATGGGGGCCAAAATTAAGACTACTGCCCAGCAGCAGGAGGCTATATAAATTCTGAAGCAAACTACTGATCTGATTAATGACAAGCTGGCGCCGGTAACTGAGAGGCTGGCGCTGCTTACTGAGGAATAGCACCTTTACCGGCATTACTTCTAGATACGCTAGGGACTAGCAGCCCTTGGCTGGTCATTGACTGGTTCACACACTCCCTCTGCTGTCCATTAGCATGGATAGGCTAGCGTTAGTGTTGTAGTGCAATGTCTATCACTACCAATGTCTATGTGGGTGGAGTTCAAGTCCTTCACTAAAAAGGGAAGTGCGGGTTCCTCCTCCCCTGTGTGTGCGCATGTGTGAGGCTGCAGATGGCGTCGCGGGGCGCTGTGAGCTTGTTCATGCACTGGGAGAGCTGAGGACATGTGCACGTGTTCAGTAAAACGTGTCCTTATTTCACTAACTTAGTTTAAGTTAAAACGGCAGCTTCCAGTGTGAGTAGAAGAGGATGTCCACTCCTGCTGAGGCGTCGGGAGCGACCGGCCAGAGAGGGAGAGATGCACCTGCTGGCACGAGTACAACAGTTAGCCTGGGCGGGCTGGTGTTAGCATTGGAGAGGCTAGCCATTAGCGTGCCTAGGCTGGCCACTAGCTGGATTTCCTACCCCATTGACAGACCATTAGCATGGATAGGCTGGTGTTAGCATTGGAGAGGCTAGCCATTAGCGTGCCTAGGCTGGCCACTAGCTGGATTTCCAACCCCCTTGACAGACCATTAGCATGGATAGGCTGGCATTAGCATCGGAGAGGCTAGCCATTAGCGTGCCTAGGCTGGCCACTAGCTGACTAGTGGAGTACCTGTCCACTAGGCTGGCCACTAGCCTTTCCGATGCTAATGCCAGCCTATCCATGCTTAAGGTCCGTCGAGGGGGTTAGCTTGGCTGTTAGATATTGTAGTTTAGTTAGTGTTTAGCTGTTAGTGTTATTAGGAAAGTAGTTCGGGTTTAGTGTTCCATACCGTGTTAGTATGGTAAGGTGTAGTGTAGTGGGTTCGGTGGCTCTGTGGGGTTGCACTCCTTTCCGCTGGACTTAGAAATTAGGCGCCAGTGGTTGCGCACAATCGGTGCCTGGAAAACAGTCAGCTCCCGCCTGGTGCTGTAGTTTGCAACCAGCATTTTACCCGCGATTCCTTCGCCAACATGATGGAGTTTGAACTGGGTTATTCTGCACGTCTCTGTTTGAAGAGGGAGGTCATGCCCACCGTGGCTCTTCCGCAATTTAGATGCAGCCCACCGACTCTGCTCCCCCACCACGGCGGGCTTCAGTCTGAGGTGAGTAAGCTAAATAAAAGTTTTAACATCTTCTAAAGACAATTCCCTACCTAAATGCAAAGTTCGAGAGACGTGGTTCACTTAATTTAGCTAATATGAGCCTGCACTGCCTTCGGGCTGATTTGTCAAGTTCACAAAATGTGGAACGGGATGTAAGGTTAGAATCAGCGGCGAATCGGAACATTTCTCGAAGCCCTGGCCGACGAAACAGTCCACATGACTATTACTGTCAGGCTCTGAGAAAATTCGGGTTGTTTTTGTGTCAGTCGGTAATTCTGCAACAGTGGCTCTAACTGGATTACATCTCCGTAACCACAGACAGTGTCACCACCCAGAAAAGGATCACCATGTACCCCAATCAGAAGCCTTGGATGAACCGGGATGTTCGTCTCCTACTGAAGGCCCGCAACACCGCTTTTAGGACAGGAGATGCACACGCCTACAGTACAGCCAGGGCTAATCTAAAGAAGGGCATCAAAAAAGCCAAACACCATTACAAAAAGAAGATAGAAGAACACTTCTCCAACTCCAACCCCCGACGCATGTGGCAAGGACTCCAGACCATTACAGACTACAGGATCACCAAACCCTCCCCCACATCCTCTGATGTTTCCTTCCTCAACAAGCTCAACAACTTTTATGCTCGTTTTGAGGGAGGGAACCTCAACCACAACCATAACAGACATGACGCCAGACCACCAACCTCTGACTCTCTCCCCCACCGATGTACGAGCGGTGCTGAGCAGGATCAATGTCCACAAAGCTGCAGGACCTGATGGCATCCCTGGGCATGTTCTCAGAGCGTGTTCTGGGGAGCTCGCAGGATTGCTCACAGACATACAGTATTCAATCTGTCCTTGGCCCATGCTGTGGTACCGGCCTGCTTCAAATCCACCTCCATCGTCCCGATACCCAAAAACTCCAACCCATCTTGCCTCAATGACTACTGCCCGGTAGCACTCACCCCCATCATCACTAAGTGCTTAGTGTCTTCCCCCCCACCCCCCCCACCCTGGACCCCCACCAATTTGCATACCGCCAGAACAGGAGCACAGAGGATGCAGTCTCCATTGCACTGCACTCTGTCCTCTCACACCTGGAAAACAACAACACCTACGCCAGAATGCTGTTTATAGACTTCAGTTCAGCATTCAATACAATCCACCCCTCACAACTCATCAGGAAACTGACACACCTGGGGATCAGTTCCCTCACCTGCAAATGGTTACTGGACTTCCTGACCAACCGCCCTCAACATGTCCGACTGAATAACCGCTGCTCATCAACAATCACAATGAACACTGGTGTACCACAAGGCTGTGTAATGAGCCCTTTCCTCTACTCCCTTTTCACCCACGACTGCAGACCTGCTGATGGTTCCAACACCATCATTAAGTTTGCAGACGACACCATGGTGATTGGCCTCATCAGTGACAACGATGAGACCGCCTACAGGGAGGAGGTGGACCGTCTCACTGAGTGGTGCGACACAAACAACCTGCTGCTCAACACTGAGAAGACTAAGGAGCTCATCGTGGACTACAGGAGGAATGCTGACCCACATCCACCCATCCACATTAATGGGACGGCAGTGGAGCATGTGAGCAGCTTCAAGTTCCTGGGAGTCCACATCTCCGAGGATCTCACCTGGACTACCAACTGCTCCAAGCTGGTCAAGAAGGCTTACCGGCGCCTTTTCTTCTTGAGGACTCTGAGGAAGAACAACCTGTCCTCAACAACTTGGTGAACTTCTATCGCTGCACCATCGAGAGCATCCTGACCAACTGTATAACAGTCTGGTATGGAAACTGCTCCGCCTCGGACCGGAAGGCGTTGCAGAGGGTCGGGAAAACTGCCCAGCGCATCGCCGGAGCACCACTTCCTGCCATAAAGGACATCTACAGGAAGTGGTGTCTGCAAAGGGCTAGGAAAATCATCAGAGACCACAGTCACCCATCACATGCACTGATCACCCTGCTGCCCTCTGGGAGGCGCTACAGGAGCCTCCAGACTAAGACCACCAGCTACCGGAACAGTTTCTTCCCCACAGCTGTCAGACTCCTGAACTCTGCCTCCTGACATTTGACCCACGTTAAACTCATGGACTGCTTGTATTAACTACAGCCTGTACATACTTATAGTTATAGAATATTCATAATATACTTCATACCATGTACATTATAACATACATAATAGATCCATTTCTGTAATATACTAACACATCTATATTATTGCTAACATATATTGTAATACATCTATATCACGGCTAAAGCACTTTCTGGATGGATGCAAACTGCATTTCGTTGCCCTGCACCTGTACATGTGCAATGACAATAAAGTTGAATTCTATTCTATTCTATTCTACTAGTTGAGAGACAGCATTACAGCGTGAAATCTAGCTTTACACCACAGCGTGACCCGGTTCTGTAAGGATTTCTGTTCAGGAAATCGCATTTCAGGCTCTTCACATCACATGTCACTGACTTTTACGTTATAATAACGATCACACACTAGGATTATGGAGGCCACTGTGCTCTTAGGAACCTTAAGTGCAGCAGAGACATTTTGCATCCTTGGCCAGATCTGTGCCTTGTCACAACACTGTCTCTTTAACCTCATGATTCTCATTTGCTCTGACATGCACTGAGAGCAGTAAGGTCTAATATAGACAGGTGTGTGGCTTTCTTAATCGAGTCAAGTCAGTATAGTCAAACATAGCTGGACTCCAGTGAAGATGTAGGACCATCTCAAGGATGATCAGAATGAATGGAAAGCATCTGAGCTAAATATGAGTGTCACAGCAAGGGGCCTGAATACTTAGGACCATGTGATGTTACAGTTGGTCTTTTTAATAACTCTGCAGAAATATGTCTAAAATTCTGTGTTTTGCTGTCAATATGAGGTCCTTTGTGTATGTTAATGAGGAGAAAATGAATTAGATTTTAGCAAACGGCTGCAATATAATTAAGAGTGACAAATTGATGGGGGTCTGAATACTTTGTGTACCCACTGTATATGACCTGTAACAGGTTCATGGATGCCTGAACAGCCTCTGTGTGAGCGTCCTGTCACTCTGACCCGATTGATCATGCGCCCTGGCTACTTGGCCACAGGGATGTACCTTTGGCTGACTGGTTAGCGCGCGTGACTCTCACCTGGGAGCCTGGGGGTCGAATCCCGCCCAGGCCCTCGTTCCTCCACCTCGTCACATAAATAAAGTTTACAACCTTTAGGGCTTGTTCACATGGTGTTTCTGCTGTCCTAAACAGCTCAGATGTCCTAAATATCACAGCAGTTATTTTATGACTTGTTAAGTACATTGCATTTAAAATTATATCATTATGTCGGAAAGGGCTTGACCCCTGTAGCACAAAAAAAGCTACAGATAATGGCTGCAGGTAAAAATTATGCTTGTAAATAAATACATAAACAAGTGCCATGAATTGTTAATTATTCTATGAACTGGTGATGTTTTGGAGTTGTTTGTCTGTTGCTATATTCGCCAGAGTTACATTAGCAGGAAAAAACAATTTGTAAACAGCCCAGTCATTCTGCTGATCCGGAAGTACTCTTTTAGCTTTAGCTTAGCATAAAACAATGTAAGTGAATGGTACCAATTAGCCTTGATTTTGTGTGTGTGTGTGTGTGTGTGTGTGTGTGTGTGTGTGTGTGTGTGTGTGTGTGTGTGTGTGTGCGTGCGTGCGTGTGCGCCTTTGGGGCGACTACGTCATGTCCTTGCATCTTTCAGTGGAAGCTTACATCTGTGCTTTGTCATAAAGTAGCCCCAAGTCTAAAATGGCGGATGTTGTTCTTTTGTGTTACTTATCTTTTTCACTTGCAGTCAGTATGAATATGCATGTTTCACTGCTATGCAGATGATGCCCAGGTATACGTGCCTTTTAAGAGGGATCGCAATCGTGCTTTGCAGTCTCTTTTAGATTGTCTCATTGAGGTTAGGCAATGGATGTTCTCTAACTTTCTCCTTTTTAATGATAATAGACAGAGGCTGTAGTCTTTGGTCCAAGTACTTTGACTAGGGTGGGTACAGTGGACCTCAGTCAGCTTGCCCCATTCTTGAAACTGAGTGCGACTTCTCTGGGTGTTGTGCTGGATGGGGATCTTGTTTTGGACAGGCAGATCAGTGCGGTGACTAAATCTAGTTTTTATCAATTAAGAAGGATCGCCAAAGTAAAGACCTTGCTGTCAAAAAAGGATTTTGAAACAGTAATTCATGCGTTTCGTACATCAAGGCTTGATTACTGTAATTCTTTGTACCTGGGTGTTTCACAATCCCACCCCTCACGTCTACAGTTGGTGCAGAATGCTGCTGCACGGTTGCTCACCGGGACGTACAAGATGGAGCATGTTACTCCTGTCCTGGCCTCACTGCACTGGCTGCCTGTTCGTTTTATAATCCAGCACAAAGTGCTTTGATGGGCTTTTAAATCTCTGCATGGCTTTGCTCCAGATTACTTCTGAGCTTCTGGTTTTTTACTCCCCTACACGGTGTCTGAGGTCGGCTGATAGGATGCTCTTAGGAGTCCCAAAAATAAAACGCAAGCTCAGAGGTGACAGGGCTCTCTCTGTAGCGGCCCCAAGGCTCTGAAATGCACTGTCTTTGAGCATTAGGTCGGCCGCTTCACTTTTTGGTTTTAAATCTCTTTTATAAACCTATTTTATGATTTGGCTTTTAACTCAGCATGAGTCTTTTTAGTGTTTTATCAGTAGTTCTTAAGCTTTAGTTTTTATGCATTTTTATATTGTGTATTGTTTTTAATGTTGTTAATGTCTGTGAAGCACTTTGGTCGGTTCTATACAGTTGTAAGGTGCTATACAAATAAAGTTGCCTTGCCCTTGCCTTGGGGCCACCAAGCAGAGTTCGAATCACTCCTGAGTGATTTTAATGACTTTTTCACATACAAGGCTAGTTAGTACCATTCACTTACATTGTTTTACGCTAAGCTAAAGCTAAAAGAGTACTTCCGGGTTAGGAGAACGACTGAGCTTATTACGAAAAGTTTTTCTGACTTAGCTAACTATTGGGAATGTAGCAATAACAATAACAAAACTTACTTTTGTGTGGAATATCCCTTTAAATAATTTGCTAGCCTAGAAATTTAAACAATCTGTTGCAGTAGCAACAGATTTTGGTCTTGCCCCGCCCCACTGTGTCTTAGCAGGTTAGTAGCGATACGTTGGGCAGGTTTAGCGCCATTACAGCAGAGCTTTTTCTACGATGGCAGAACTGCAACAGCAAAACTATAAAGATGGCAGATGGCTCAGGAAAAGATCTTGTTCAAAACGGCTTCGAGTAGGCTGCTTTGTCTCACGTTCTTGTCCTTGTCTGAATTGATGGCATAAATTTGGTCAGACGAGCAGTTGGAGTCCTCTACGTGTTTTCACACAAAACCTAAAGAAAGTTTTGTCGTCTCTCAAAAATAAACACTTGCTTGGTAAAAACTTTTGTCTTTAAATTTCACGAACATCATTTGTTAAATCCGTGGCATGTCTCAAGATGGTTCTGAAAATAAATTTTATCGGCCTGTAGAGTCCCATTCATTTGGCTATAAGGGTCCATGGTCCAGAAATAGATGGGTGTGACTTAGGCTCCCTATTTATGTATAAGCTGTGTATATTTATGTTTATATAGTCTGGCAAAGCCCCATAGACAGAGCTTGGTTTTAGGGTAGAACTATGGTTATCTATGGTTCCTACAGTATTCAGTCAAGGAGGCAGTCCATCATACTCCCTTGAAGAACAGTAAGCCAATACAGCCTTATTCGTTATAAAGGTCTTAAATATCTATATCTGCTCATGCCTAAAAGAAAAGTCTAAATTGTCCAAACATTTTTCCAAAGCCGCTTCAAACAAGCGCCATTTTTCTCCAAGATCCTAAACCCGCCCAATGTCTCTACAAACATAGAGCTGTGGTTGGCTGGACCTGCACAGGCTACAATGGAGCATGGCTAGACCGACCTACAGAGCAAACCTTTAGCTCCAGTTGTTCTAGATTTCTGTCTATGTATGTGCTGCAAATGCAGAAAACGATCCAGAGTCGTGTGCATGGGGCCTGAATTTCTATTTCTCCAAACAAAGGCTGTGCTGGAAGCTTTTCACACATTGGGTAATTATACCACAATAAGGCACTTAAAGATTTCCAAAACAAAATCCCAATTTGTCTGTTCATACCAATGCCTTGGCTACTTTTAGACACTACAAGATGTTCGTGGAGAACAGCAGAGCGTGGGCGCTATACGAAGGGAGGTGTATGGTGACTTCTGGCACGTCAGCACAGAGGAAGAGCTGAGATGATCAGAGCTCTGGGGCTGAAGCGGCCGTTATTTTACTTGTTTACCACAGAAACTGCACCCTGCAGCTGCTGTTTGCGGGCAGACGTTCTTATCTGTGAGCAGACAGGTTGTTTGTTTAGCCTCGGCTCTCGTCAGCGTGCCAGGCCAAGCTGACCTTCTGCCAACTGATGCTACTAGAGGGGGGATGTTTTAGTTTGAGTTGTTTCTTGACCCGGTTCGGGTTAGCCGTTAGCTTCACATGCCTAATAGAATTCCTCGCTGGTACTTTCAGCTTTCAGAGCCGACCACTTTCTATTGCAGGTAAAAATAACTGATAAATACCCAAAATGATCCCACCTGGATTAAAACTATCACTTTAACTCAGACTAACATTTATCAGAGCATTGGGTTTCCTCAGGCTTAATGTTGTACAATAGCTTAATGTACAGATTCTTGGAGATTTCACCTCTGAGGGGGAAATCGAGTCTGTGTCCTGATGAATTACAGCGGTATCATGAATGAAACACACTTTTATCAGCGGAAACCTGCAGCACCGGTCAGAACTTTCTGTAGATCAGCTGCGAGTCACCTGGATATCTGCAGCTGGGGTCCCGGTAAGTACAGGTACCTCCAGATGGCGTAATAATGTACACCTGCTCCAACTGCAACAAAAAGGTGCCAGATGGCATGGGCGAAGGGAACGAGGCCATCACTCTTGAAGAAGACTACGCCCACAACGTAGAAGACCCCTCCAACAGCCAGTTCACACACACCTGCACGCTCCACCTGGAACGTATCAGGACACAAACAGAGCTCCATCAGGATGGTGGTGCTTGTGCGGTTGCACGTTTGCCAGTAATGTTGTCTGAAAAAGCAAAGCTTTTGACTGAACAGTGTATTCGACATTACCTAAAAATAAATTGTGTCGAAACATCAAAGTGCATTTAACGATGTAGCCCTAGACAAACAATTGTGTATTCTGAATGGGTGCCTATTGGTCTGAGTCACTCCTCTCATCTCAAAGTTGTATTTTCGTCTCCTAAAGATGTTTAAACTGGAAGGAAATAAGCATTGCTGCTGGGGGAGGTGCTAATCGGACTCTGGATTAGGGTTACCAGATCCCAACTTGCCAAATGTGGGACAACATGAAGTTCCAATGTAATGAGAAAAAAACAAACAAAATGTGTATTCTGCCTTTTAGCTCTAACATCACTGTTGTCGTCGTCGTCGTCGTCTTCCTCCGCTTATCCGGGTCCGGGTCGCGGGGGCAGCATCCCTACTAGGGTGCTCCAGACCGTCCTCTCCCCGGCCACCTCCACCAGCTCCTCCGGCAGGACCCCAAGGCGTTCCTGGACCAGATTGGAGATGTAACCTCTCCAACGTGTCCTGGGTCGACCCGGGGGCCTCCTGCCGGCAGGACATGCCCGAAACACCTCCCCAGGGAGGCGTCCAGGAGGCATCCTGACCAGATGGCCAAACCACCTCAACTGACTCCTCTCGATCCGGAGGAGCAGCAGTTCTACTCCGAGTCCCTCCCGAATGTCCGAGCTCCTCACCCTATCTCTAAGGCTGAGCCCGGCCACCCTACGGAGGAAACTCATTTCGGCCGCTTGTATCCGCGATCTCGTTCTTTCGGTCGTTACCCAAAGCTCATGACCATAGGTGAGGATTGGGACGTAGATCGACCGGTAAATCGAGAGCCTGGCTTTCTGGCTCAGCTCCCTCCTCACCACGACAGATCGGCTCAGCGTCCGCATCACTGCAGACGCCGAACCAATCCGCCTGTCGATCTCCCGATCCCTCCTACCCTCACTCGTGAACAAGACCCCGAGATACTGAAACTCCTCCACTTGAGGTAGGACCTCTCCCCCGACCCGGAGTTGGCAAGCCACCCTTTCATATATATAAAATGATTATTATTATTATTATCATACATTTCTTGTTTATATTTTATTTGAATTCAACCTGAAGCATTCAGCAAAAGCTTTACTATTTCACAGTTCCTCTCACATTTCCACAACATAACTCTGCGGTGGCTCTGATCATTTTAATAACATAGATAGGCCACAATAATAAAAAATGCAGGTTTAAGCAGCTTTTCAGAGTTTTCATTGAATGTTGTCTACAACAGAATGACAGTAAAAGTACCAGTAATATTTTTTATCTATTTGTTTGTTTTTAATTAATTTTCCACCAAAATCAGCATCTCATTGAAAAAATATCACAATTTTTTTGCTCTTTATTTCATAATTCAGAAACAAAACTATTATTTTAAACATGACAACAAATCTCTTCTAGATTTTAGGTGAGAATAAACATGTCATGGTCTGCATCTCCCTCGTGTGTCTCCTTGTGCTCTCCATCCATTCGTGTCAGTGTTGTTTTGTTCCCCTCTTCTAGATCTCTAGGTTTCTTGGCTTCGTTCCACGTTTTTGTTTTCTCGTTGGACTAATCATCTTAATAAAGATGTTTCCTTTTACATCCTCTCCTGCTCCTTGTCGTACTGGGTTTCTGCACATCGGGTCCAACTCCTCCACCTCTCAACATGACAAAACATCAGATTCTAATCTCTAAAACATTCAGATCTAATCTAATAAAAGTTTCTTAGAGTTACTTTTTGCGTCAAATGTCTGAGAATACGTGATCAAAGCTTCCATTTATTCTCATTAATTCTTCACTGTGCTGTAAGGGGCTCAGCGTGTGTGCAGGTATCAGAAACCGCAGCACCTTGTTTGTGTTAGAGTGTCCATTGTGTTCATCATGGACCTGTCTATTTACTGGAAAACCTGCTTTTTACCTCTTCATATCAGACTCTGCGCCGAGACATGAAAAATGACTCAGAAACAACAAAGACTGTCGAGTATCTCTGAACACGTTTAATTCACGAGTTTACAGCATTTTCTCCTCCGTGCTCACTCACGCTGGTTTAGGTGGTTCGGGCGCGCTCCACACGCTCCAGATCTGCGATAAAGTCCCGCCTCCGTTTGATTGACAGCAACTGACAGATTTCTCCACAGTTTCTTCTATAAGATTAAAACTCGAAACGGGAAATTGTCAATAATGCGGGACATGCCCAATGACAGCGCCTTGGGCTTCCTGACAGAGTTGCGGAAGGCGCTTTACAAATAAAGCTTTGAATTGATTTGATTTTGATTTGACATGAGTCTCAATTTGCAGGACACGTGAAAGGTAATGAAAATGCGGGACATCTGGTCACCCTACTCTAGATGCCCAGATCGGATGTCGAGAGGGGACATTTTTCATGCTTTTTCCAAAGCCGGGTACGGTTTGCGACCACATGAAACAGCTGACCAGAGGTGGGAGGTTTGAATATGATATCTGTCGGGTTGTTTTTATCGACGACCAAGCGCTCTGTCTGTGGATTTTTGATTGGTCGATATGGTTGGTTTGTCTAGCACCAGCACCAGCAGCACTTACGTGGCGACGTCAACTGTTGAAAACAAAACACCATTACCAAATGACCTAACAGGTGGGCTTATGTGGCGGCATCACTGATTTGTGATTCACTCCCAGTGGAAGGAAACCTCCAACAACAGAAGATCCTCCGCTGAGAAGGACAATTCGGACCTTGAAGGTCGAGACTCACCATAGATAAAATGACCAAGGCAGGCAATGTCCCCATGGCTACGTATCCCATCAGCTCCACCAGCTTGTACCTGCAGGACACCAACAGGAATGTCTCCTAAACAGCAGTTCTGTGTTTGTGTGTAAACACACAAGGGCAAGTTTGTGTTTAACACAAAGCAGAAAAACAAGAAGAGGCCGTCACCTCTCATGGAAGAAGAAGACGTACATGGATCCAAGGGAGGCCATGACCCAGATCAGCCAGCGCATGTGGCATGTCCAGGGTCCCAGCTCCCTCAGCATCAACCTGAACACACATGCATCGTCACTCTAGGGTCAATACGCCACTGTGGCGTTGTTCTGAGCTATGTTCACATGACCTACCAGGGAGAATAGGAGGCAGCAATAAAGAAGTAGATGGCCATCCTGTCACACATGTGGAAACGCTGCTCCAACTTCCTACACAGAAAAACAAACAACTCAATCAAAAGGACCAACAGCAGCCAGATCCAACATGGCTGCCTTGGCCAATAGACCATGGATAACACAAATTTACTCTAATTATACAGATGCCACACTACAATACAGCATCTAGCATCTGCAGTTTAAATATAAACAAAAGAACAATTCGGTGTTACAAAAAGGGTGAGTTGTAAATCTCACAGCTCAGGTGTGCAAACACACACCGAAGATGGCTGATTTTCCAGGCAGCGGTGTGGAAGAGTGTTGAGGTCACAAAGAGGCCCGTGAGACCGCTGCCGTAGAGTCCAGCGGCGAGCCGGTGCCATTTATCCATAGACAGGAAGTACAGCACAGAACCGCCCACCAGGCTGGGAAGAATCCACACCTACAAAAGATCACAAACTAATGACACCACTTTACGAAGCTCCTGTTAGTTTGTTACATGAATTTGTTTTGTTGGTTTTGACAATCCCCCAAGGCGCTTCAAAAGACAATCAGCCATTCACCCGTTCACACACTGGTGTGGATGAGCTACAATGTGGCCACTGCTGCCCTGGTACACACTGATAGGGGCGAGTCTGCCGAACGCTGGCGCCACCGGTCCCTCCGACCACCGCCAGCAGGCAAGGCGGGTTAAGTGTCTTGCCCAAGGACACAACAGCAGCATTCTCTGGTCAGAGCTGGAATCGAGCCTGCAACCTTCTGATTACTGGACAACCCACTCTACCTCTTGAGATACTGCTGTCCACCATTAGCATTAGGGGGTGGCTGATAGCTGACAGTGTGAGATATTGGAAGTGTGGAGTGACAGAGTGTGAAGAGGGTCAGATGCATGTGTCTCACTCTCAATGAGTGAAGCCGGGCGTACACTGTGCGACTTTTTCACTCGCAGCGTTCAGCTTCAGCTCAAACTGTACGACTTCCTCGCAGAGCAGATCTCACGAGTCGTGTGCTCACACTGTACGACCCAATTCTCGCATGCGACCTGACTGCTCACACTGTACGTCTGGTAGCAACACGTCGGCCCCAAAATGTGCTAAAAATAGCAGTTTTTACACAATACGTCAGACTTTTTTGTCTTGCCTGTTGTCCTTCGGGAGTGCTGCAGGAGGACACACAGGGATTTATGGGGGTTGGATGAGGAAAACGAAATAAAGAAAGTGAATCTGTGTTTTATGATCAGTTTAATTTGACATGAACACGACAAACACGCTTTCTTGACAATATTTGTGAGTAAAAAAACGTGTAGAAACAAAAACGAACAGCGTGTGTTATTAGGGAAATAGCGAGCGACCGGCCGGCGTTGATGCAGGATTGCGCGCGCATGCGCCGTGAGCGGTTCTGATACTTTTTGGATCGTAGCTGCTCGCAGCTGCTCGCAGCGCCGCTTCAACAGTGCGATACCCTCACGAGGGACGAGCGAAATATTAAACACACCAGAAGTCCCTGCGACCTCACGACTGCTGATCGGCGGCTGGTCACGTGGTGTTAATCGCCTCTCGTAACCCCCTGTACACTACACGACCGCTCGGCGCAAAACTCGCCCCGATGTCGTGGCTTCTCGCACGACTGGAAAATCGGCTCAAAAAAGTGAAAAAGTCGCACAGTGTACGCCCGGCTTGAGAGTTGGTAGCACTGGATTTGATGCTAATGCATTAGCATAGCATTAATATTAAAGTGCATAACACTAATGCATTAGCATAGAATTAGCATTACGGGGCAGTAGCTCAGGAGGAAGAGCAGGATGCCTCCAGATTGCGAGACCGATTCCAGCTCTGCCAGGAGCTTACTGCTGTTACGGCCTTGAGCAAGACACTTCACCTGACTTGCCTGTGCTGGTGGTCAGAGGAGCCGATGGCGCAAAATGGCAGCTTTGCTTCTGTCAGACCAGCGCAGGGCAGCAGTGCTTGAATGTGAGGGTGCATGAATAATGGAAAGCACTTTGAGTGCCAAGAAAAGCGCTATGGGGGCCTAAGTCACGCCCATCTACTTCCGGACCACGGGTCCACAGAAGAACAAAAAAATGAATGGAAGTCAACGGGGCTAAAAACGCTATTTTCTTATTCCGCTTGTTATGTTCCATAGATTTCACATATGATGTCTGTGAACTTCAAAGACACATTTTGATACCAAGAATGTGCTTATTTCCGAACGGGGAGGAAACGTTATTTTAGGTTTTGTGTGAAAATAACTCCAGGACTACAAATGCGCTTCACCAAAGTGAACCGGTCGAACCAGACACGGAGGAAAACAGAGGGAAAATGGCTGTAGGTTTAGCTAACTTAAAATCATTCCTTCAGGAGGAAAAAAAACATCGTCTGGTCACGTGGTAAGTAGCAGCTACGTTAGGGGAGAGGCGATTGTGTGGTGATGTCATAAATGTCTGATTTGTAGTCATGCTAATAACAAACTTTTACAAGCTAATAAATCTCAAAGTACGTGACTGGCATGGTTAAAACACCCAGCATTACTTTTAATTTAAAATGCAGTAAAACATATGTGCGATCCAGGGCGTAAGGCAAAGTGGGTTAGAAAATAGCTCTTTTAGCCCCGTTGACTTGCATTCATCTTTTTTTGTTCTTCATGGGACCCACGAGCCGACCGGAAAGGGAGGAGACTTAGGCTCCCTACATAAATCCATCCATTCATTCATCCATTTTCATCCGGATCCCAATATAAATCCAATCCATTATTTATCCATTATTATCATTAGCACATGTGATGCAAATGCATTAGCGTACCATTAGCACAATTGTATATGATGCTAATACAATAGCATAGCATTAATATTAAAGTGTATAATGCTAATTCATCAGCATATCAATTCATTAGCATATGTATGCAAATGCATTAGTGTAGCATTAGCACAAGTGTATATGATGCTAATACAATAGCATAGCATTAATATTTAAGTGTACAATGCTAATTCATTAGCACATCAATTCGTTAGCATATGCATGCAAATGCATTAGTGTAGCATTAGCATTTGTGTATGATGCTAATGAATGTTATGGATTAACGTCATATACCCACAGGGATATGATGTAGCATCATGTTTAGCTCAGTTATTTTATTTGGATGTTAATTTTATCAATGAAGTATCAACAAGACTGATTAAACAAGATGTTTGTACACGTTTTACTCCTTGATGTGCATGTTTAGTTCTAACAGCTTCAATTCCTGCTCCATGTGAAGCTGATCATTTATTACGCCCATGTTTTTGCTGCTTCCTCTTCGGTCTCTGTTTCATTCACTCTCTGACGCAGCAGTGTGCAGGGATTAGAGCAGATTAAAGAGAAACTACAGGCTGACTCAGATTATGGCTTTCTGCCTCCATCACCCCCCTAAAATTAAAAAATCCTCTTCATCCCATGTCGTTTCAACTCCCATCATCTTTTCAGAGGCTTTACTCAGCTGACAACGCTGCAGAGATGTAGGACGACAGCTAACGTTCTGACTGTGCAGCTGTGTTTGTCTCACCCCGTGTGTGGTACAGTTGGCAGCGTGTTCGTAGTCAGTGGGCTGGTACCTCTCATGGGCCGGTACCCTGCAGTTCATGTACCTGAGTGAGGGGTGAGAGAAGGAGATGGGGGAGGGACAGAAAGGGGAAGAAAAGTCATTGGTAGTGTACGCAGATCTGAGACAAAGCAAACTCTTACTCTAATGGATTAACTGTATGCTGAAACCATGAAATCCAGCACTGGGTATGTGATGTGGTCATTCCTGAAGGGTTTTCTGTAATCCACATCACGTTGTCTGAATTTGAGTTTGCCACATCGTTACTGGGGCAACTGTCTGCATTGCAATGGCCACTGGTGATGTCACTGATCTGCAGAGTGGAGTTACTCCATCATCTAGCAATAATAGGCCAAATGCTGCACCTGTAGGATCATAAACTCTGCTGCTTATAGGTTCAAGTCATCTTGGCACGCTCTGCTTGTTTCTCCTCCTCATGATTGCTCTGCATCCCAGCCATTAAAACGTGCCTGTGATGACCTACATGTGTATTGAATTAACACATGGATGCACCTGTGGTCATGTGCAAAACACTGTACTGAGATAAGTGTGTGTTTGTTAATGAGTGCTTACTGTGACGGAGAAAATGTTGTTTCATAAGATCCCCAGATGTTCCTCCTTTCAGTAAACAGGGATGGGAGAATGTTTTGATCTCCATGTCATGTCATTTTATGTTTAGCTCACATACTTTTACATTTTTTTCCTCCCCAGCATCTCAAAGCTTGTTCTGGTCCATGTTGTAAATAAATGTAACAGTTGACCCTGAGCAGGAATATTCATCTCCACTCAGGAACACGATAGATGTTTTGAACAGATGTCCCGTCATCCACATGCAGAACAATAAAACATGGCTCCATCAGTACTAGTGACCAGTGGTGAAACCACAGCATAGACATATATCTGCTGCTAGGTTACTAATCAGACAAAAACAAACAGCACAACGGTATACACCACTGACAGGAAACATGGCAGGAGCCAGGTATGTCCCACCTGGAAAGATTCCCAGACTAGCATGACATGTACATGATGCAAGTAAATATGTCTTCTTCAAAGAGCATGTTAATCATTTTCTTTAGGCAAAAATTTCTTGGGGACAAAAAATAAACTTTAATGACATCCTGTGGTCAAATTTGGGTACTGCAGTCTATTTTTATAAACAAAAGTTGACTTTCTCACTCCTGTTCTGTGACTTTCATGGCTGCTGCCAGTTACTTTCTTCAGGCTCTTGGAGAGTACAGATGCTTTTTCCCTCCCCTCCTCCCTATCTTATCCCGAGGCTCTTTGTCTGTCTTTGGGTGTACGGCGCTTATGCATTTTTTCTGGAAACTGGAAATTATTAAAAATGGACCTGGTCAGTTGGTCTCTCAACGCGATTGACAAAATTTTTTCAACGATGAGAACGGGAGATGGGGCTCCCGGTTGCCCCTCTGGGATAGAGCCTGCTGGGCATATCATGGACTCCTGGAAACAGTGGAACCTGATCTGCCTCTCTCAACTGTCTGTAGAGGATTCTGAAGACGTCTGGATATTTGTGGTGTTGGTGTCGGGATTCCTGCTGTTTGGCCTGAGCGGTTACCTGGCTTACCGGAAAACTAATAAACTGTCGAAGAATATTGGCTCAATCCCGGAGCTCAGGGATGGATTACATTGCGCTGTGAACGCACAAACTCATATAATTGTCGAGATGAGTCGTAAGCTTGGAACTTTGGCTGAGATTCAGGCTCTGGCACAGAAGGTTGATTCGATCAAGGATTGAGTTGACGGATCGGCACGGATTGGGATAGATTAATTACGCCATTGTTGGATTTAGAGGGGTTGGAGACCAACAGAACTTTAAGACAGAGAGGAAATTATCTCTGTCTGGCCCCAAAACAAGTTCTTATCTGAATCTGGTGCCCTTGAGCCTGTGAGGCTGAAGTGAAAACCCCCCCTCAGAAGAAATGTGGAGTGCTGCCGTCGCCATGGCAACTCTGTCTCCCTATCCCAGCCTGGGCGGGACTGCAACTGGTGAAGGCCGTGGAACCGTTTCCAGGAGTCACTGTACTTTCTAAACCCAACTACCTCCCTCCCTTGTCCAAACGGAGGTGACGAGCGCTGCTCATCGCTGCTGCATGCACTGATGTGAGGAGAATCCCCAACCCTACCTCCCCACCTAGTGGACACTTATGTTCTGTAATGTCTGAAGTCTGTTGCATTTCTGCCTGAGGTGTTTCTTGCATAGCAAAGCTGCCCTCCCTGTGGAGGGTAACGCCGGGGACACACCGGCCGCGGAAGCGCCGCGAAGCGCCGAGAAGCGAATCGCTCACGAAATTCGGCCGCTGCTCGCCGCTCCTCAGTTCAGATCAGACGCGCCCCAGTCGAGGCGCGCCTCGGCTCTGCTGTAGTTTTTCTTTTAAACACTTGGTGTCCTCCATTTCCTCTCTGCCTTTTCTCAGCTCTTTTCCTCTACGTTTGAGTGTTTGTAATTGTGTGTGTGCGTGTGTGTGTGTGTGTGTGTGTGTGTGTGTGTGTGTGTGTGTGTGTGTGTGTGTGTGTGTGTGTGTGTGTGTGTGTGTGTGTGTGTGTGTGCTGGGACGTAATTTTGGGGGGGGACGGGTGGGACATGTCCCCCCCACTTTTTCAAAAGGCAGTTTTGGTCCCCTGCACTTTTTTCCGTCCAAAAACAATATTACGCTCCATTAAATGGATTTGGTTGAGCACTAGGACCGAAACGGAAACCGGTTTCCTATTAGACCCGCCCAAAAGCTAATCTATTGGCTCTGCTGATACTTGCTAACGTATTATTGGCTGTTGCTGCTGTCACTCAAGTTGTAAACAGTCAGAACATGCTCACGTTGTTTTGCTAGTTTGGAGCCGCTAGGGAACACCGGTACTGAGTCACATCGTCAACTAGACGCTGTGTAATATCAGAGCTCAGCTCAACTGCTACAATTACATAACATTTGAATAAGTGTTCATTTGTGAGTCTTTGGTAGTTAGGCACAGCCAGGAGGCAGCATGTCAAGAAAATGAAAAGTGGCTATAAGAGACTTCTTTCAAAGTCAAAACGTAAGTTGGAACATGTGACAGACCTGCATTAAGCTCAGACTCACCTCCTCCTTCACACACATACTCAAAACTAACTTTTACAAACTCATCTCCTCCACATAACTGACTCCTCAGACACAATTTATTCGTATTATTATAATTATTTTTTTATTATTATTACTATTATCATCATAATTATTATTACTAGTAGTAGTAGTAGTAGAAGTGTAACTTCAAAACTTTTATCATTTAACTTTATTGTAAACTTATCTATTGCAATGTATATGTTCACATTAAAAAGCTCTGAAAAATGAACAGTATCATCATCGTCAACAGATTTTTTTAAGCTTAATGTCAAAGATGTACACTTTTCATTAGATTTATCTAATTTTTTCCATTTATTTTTTGTGTGTTGAAATGCAACAACTGTTTAAACACTTTTAAGGGAAAAAACATTTAATATGTTTTTATACACTCAAATGTTAGGGTGATGATCATGTGTAAAACATTAGTTCAGCATGTCCTCTAACACAGCAAATGAACAAACGGCCAGATCTCAGGAGGACCGTTTATGTATAAATAATTTTTATACTTTTGACTAGGCCTGGGAATGTAACAAATTTTGCTGGACGATATTTTGTCCAACAAATTGTTGATGATAAACGATATCATTGTCAACATTATCTAGACCAAAATAACCACTAATATAATGTTAATATATCATAATAATGCAAGTACACCCTTTAAAATGCAACAAATAAACCTTCATTTAACATTGAAATGTCCAGAACCAGAACTTCTAAATGAATAAAAATAACAAACAAAAATTAAATAAAAAAGGAATCTCACTCCCTGTTAGAAAATGTTGCACCAAAAACAATAAAAAAAGACCCAAAACAATAAATACAATAGCCTGTCCATTGTCAACAGCCAAAACTGCACTTCAATAATGATAATAAATAAAAATAATAATAGAGTTGTACATTTGTTAACTTTGATATATATATATATATATATATATATATATATATATATATATATATATATATATATATATAGAGGATGGAAAAATTATTGAGATGGGCACGTGACGTGTCAAGGGGTCTTTACATAACACCCCCCACCCCAAATCCGCACAAGCCTGCTGTGTCCCCCCCCACTTCTGAAATCAAAATTTCGTCCCTGTGTGTGTGTGTGTTTGTGTGTGTGTGTGTGTGTGTGTGTGTGTGTGTGTGTGTGTGTGTGTGTGTGTGTGTGTGTGTGTGTGTGTGTGTGTGTGTGTGTGTGTGTGTGTGTGTGTGTGTGTGTGTGAACCTATGGTATGAGTTGTTTCTGCCAGTTGAATCTCTTGGAACCCGCTCCAATTCTGCAGCTGTATCCTAGCAGTTTCTTCTGAAATGGGTACGTAAATAACCATGTTTTTCGGGGGTCGTACAGCTCCTTGTGTTTCTCAACTTCCATAATTAAAGTCATCCATATTAACTGCTTGCCTCAGACTTTCTGCCTCTCTGTCCTGTTTGCTCCGGAAACAGCGCTCCGGCGCCGAATGAAGGCGGTCCCATTTTCACGGCGCTTCCGCGGCCAGTGTGTCCCCGGCGTAACTCTGAAGTGCCATTTGTTTCCTCCACCCGACTCAATCCTGGTAAAACCCCTCTAATCTCTATTAATGTCTGATCTCAGAATTGTGTGCACTGAAACTCTAATTTACCGCTGGGATTAATAAAGTATCTTTGAATTGAATTGAGTTGAATCGGCACCAGAACATTCTGGACACAGTAAATTAATAAGAAGATAAATACATTAAATTCCGGTGTTAGCATTCTGGTATTTTACAATAGTGAGCACTTACTACATTTATTATGGTAGGAAGCATCTTCCATTACAGGAAGTGGGGTTGTTTGGCTTCTTGCTGTTAGCTTGCTGTTATGTAGTTAAGAACGACTCATTAAAGGAAATAAAACACCATGATAAACTCATTATTTACTTCACACATACATTTAGATTTAATATTGAGTTAGG